TTTGTCTGGCCAAGTGGTTCAGTAAAGCGCGCCTCGTCGTCAGTCTAATTGTGCTTCGCGTTTTCTGCCCTGGTCGGTGAATCACAGAGGTGTTCCCACATGGCCATGGCATGCTGTAATACTCATCGGTGTTAAATTTAAAAACTCAAAAGAAAAAAAGGTATGCAATGGTCTGACTCAGTGATTCTTCGTTTCGCCTCGTGGTATCCCAGTTTTGTGGCCTCAAAAGTAGGGAAACGCATCGAACGAGGTGGCAAATTAGTGGTGGACTACCTGCGGTGGATTCCATGATCAAACGTGAATCCTGACACCTTGATTTGCGATTGTGTTGAAGCACGTAGACATCACACCTAGCAAACATGAAAGTGGATGCAACACCGTATGTGAATGGCCTGTAATTCACCGCCAAGGCCGTGGATAAGTCGGCCAGTGGCCTCACTCTCACACGGGTCTCAACCACGGTGAAAGCGCAAAAGGAGGGGTGGGAGTGGGGTGACGTGTGTCTGTGTGGTTGACCGGTAATGCCAACCGACAATGAGATCGCCTTGCCCTGCACTGTCCTGCACAGCCACGCCTCGTGTTGTGCCTGCCTCTCCTATGCGTGTGCAGTCGTACTGGGTGGTGGAGGATTGGGATGATTGGAATGGGGGATGAGGAGTCAGCAGGCCTTGCGAGGTGCGGTGTGCACAGGGTGTGTGGTGAGGAGGCGGGGTTGGGCATGCGGAGCTGGCGCTGCCACATCGCTGGGCGTATCGACGCAAGTGGATGGCTGGAAGATTGGAAATGCGTGTGATGCGTGTGACACTGTGGCACGAAGACAGTGTGGAGGAAGGCGGCAACAGCATGCGAGGATGAATGGAGGGTGGAAATGGTGAGTGCAAGCAGGAGACGGAAGTAGGTGGCCAAATGTCTGGCTGGCGTGCGTGTACGGACGGAGGTTGATTGTGCGTTGCCACGTGACGTGGCAGGCGTGCTTGTGTGTGTGTCTGTGTGTGTGTCTACGCGTCACGTGTCAACGCGGCAGTTGTGTGTTGTCATGGTGAGACGACTGAATGGAAGAGTGGCAGAAGCTCAGAGAGGTGATAGTGGTGAGGGTGCGGAGAAGGTGTGCAAGCACTGAAGTGAGCGTTGCGAACGCGTGAGGTGCGTTGAGCAGTTGTGATTCCACGCATTCACATTTGTGGAATGCCTTGTTAGTGGGAGAGAGGGAGAGGGATTGAGCGAGGGAGCGAGGAGCCCTTCCACTCGAATGATTGCATAATGTGGAATGAGGTAACATGCTGACGAAGCGGTATTGAACGGCGGTGATTAGGGAGTTGTGGTGGGAGGCCATTGCTTGGCTGGTTTGTTGGATGGATGCAACTTGGTTGATTGGATGATTTCTCAGTGCAAGTGGTGATGGAGACGGAGGGCGAAAGCGAGTGATGAAGGGATGTCGTGTGAGCATTGGGGGCCCGAATCACCAGAAGTGAATGGAAGTGTATTTGAGTGGAGTGTGGTGGAGTGGAGTGAACGAGTGACGAATGAATTGAGAGCAAATGGGAGCGGAAGTGGAATGTGCCACGTCACAGTGTCGGTTAGACAGGAAGCAAAAGCCAAGGCGACTGCACGGGGAAGCGGCATTCCAGGTGTGGTGATCAGGCAGATGTTGAAGGCTTGCTTGCCTGCAGGGATGTGTGGAGTGAGAATGTGATTACTCTCGACGGCGTGGCCGCTGTCGTGGATCGCCTTCCCTCTGTTGCACAGTGTTCGCGCCTCCTTCATTGCCTTGACGATGGGGCCTTTGTCCCCTCACGCATGATGATGATGATGCAAACAAGGCTAGATGGCAAAGTAGTGGCGTGGCATGTAAGGCCTTGGAATGGTGGTGAATTTGTTGAGACTGATGGAAGGCGTGATGTGGATTGGAGGACTGAGTTGTGAAGGCTGGTGTGAGGGGTGTGTGCAAAGCAGGTGTTTGCGAGGAATGAGGCTGGAGGTGGTAGTTGGAGGGGAGGCGGAGTGTGGGAATGTGTTTGTAACAATTTTGGTGCTGTGTTGTTTTGCCTTGCGTGGCAAATGTGAACTCGCCTCCTCACTCCTCACCCCCTCATCCACCCGCTCCTCTCTCCTCACCTCTCCTCCTCACTCCACAACCCCATTGCCAATCCCTCACCTCATGCATCTTCCTCTTCACTCAATTTGACATTGCAATGCTGCATCGTGAAGGCACGTGAAATCGACTGTCGTGGAGGAGCAGCAGGCGGAGCACCGTGGAACAGGCAGGTCCACGCGACCACTCGCGGGCAGGCAGGCAGGCAGGCAGGCAGGCAGGCGGGCACGCGTCCACGCACTGCTAGTACTGGTGAGGTAAAATCTTCAACCTCGCAATGCGACCTGACTGACTGATTAGCTGGCTGGCTGTCTCGATGAATGCATCACTGATTGACTCACAGACGCATTCCATGCATTGAATCCCATTCATCGACGGAACAAGTGGCATGCACGTCGTCGACTTGGCGGAGTGAATGCCGCCAATCAACGTGGTGTGTTGCATCGTGTCAGTGAGGCAGGGTGAAACTGTGAGGAAGAGGATGGAGCGAGGGAGGAAGGAACGCATCCACTGATGGATTTGATGAAGAAGAGGTTGTGTTGGCGAGTGCTGCTCATCCAGATGACATGAGAGGGACAGCACACGTTGCTCGCAAGCGTCGGTATATCTACGCAGTGCAGTGGGCGGGAGTGAGGGAGTGGGGCACTGAGGCACCTCAGTGGGAGGAAGGAAGGGAGGGAGGGAGAAAGGGAGGGAGGGAGGAAGTAATGTGTTGTGAGAGTGGACTTTGAATATTTTGGGAAATAAATGGAAAGGCACGATCCTCT